TACTGGTCACATCGGTGCTTCAGCTCACTACACGCAACATACCATTTGGTACGCCCGGTGTACTGCGGCTGACCCCATTTTCTCTTCAAATAAGCTTATTCCATTAAGACATTCCACCCAAACACAGATCTAGCCTGAAAACATTGATCTAAATGATAAAGTTTCCATTTTTATGACTTTCCATGACTAGACAAGGCTCAAATGCTAAAACCCTAACTCTATAATCCATTTAGACATTTCAACTCTTGCATGGAAGGAAAAGAAGGGCCAAGATCACATTTTATAAGTTTAAACACTCCAAAACGTCCAAAAGGACATTTTTTTTGGTTTAGAGAAATCCATACTCACTTAGACTAAGAATGTGAGACTAAAAAGTAGAAAACTTCATATCTAGGAAGATCTAAGCAACTAGCTTATCAAGGTTCGATCTTTATACCTCCAAATGATGCTTGAGGGTGAGGTGTTTTTGGATCTAAGTGGTCTTGATCTTACAAAGTGGTTCTTCAATTTTCTCCTTGGTTTAATGACACCAAAACACACACTTTTCAAGCTCAAAATGCACACAGAAGAGATTAGGGTTTGCTATGGACAAAATGAGGGGTAGGGACTGACGAGGGAAAAAGATCTTGGAAGTTAATGATGCTTAAATAGGGTCCAAACCTAAAAAATAGTGTTTGAACATCCACCACGTACGCCTAGCATACGCATACAGCTCGTGTTTCTCATTTAAGTGCCACTCAAGACCACTTTTCAAACAAATTACATAATAAGAGTTAAGATTGTAAATTACCTTAATAATGAGAGAGAGAGAGAGAGAAAGAAAGAGAGAGAGAGGGAGAGAGGGAGAGAGAGAGAGAGAGTGAGAGAGAGAGAGAGAAAGAGAGTTGGTTAGGGTCGCGAGCTTAATGAAATGCAATGAGCCGATCCCTAGCTTCATTCTTAGGCTCGAATCGAGCTCGAGCTTGAGCTTCTTAAAAGTTAAAAGCACCAAGATCGAGCTTGTTTAGGCTCAACCTCATTTACACCCTTACTAAAAAACTCAATGTCAGTTGAACTTTTTCCAAATTGACAAGTTTGGTCCCTTAAACTTCAAATTTTCCATCTTTACCTTCTAATTCATCTTGAAACTTTTAGAATTGTTTATTTTGTTTATATTGATTTTATTTATTTTATTAACTTCAACTATTATTATTTATTTATTTAGTTATTTATTATTATCTATAATATTTAACTCATTTAAAAGGTTATACTTTTAACAATTAAAATACATATATATTTCTTTCTGGTTTTAAAAAGATGAAATGTATTTCTTTCTTGTTTTAAAAAGATGAAAACTTCAAGTTTGCTGAATTCAGTCGAACTAAAATTTAATATAAAATTAGGAATTAACATTGTTCTATTTAATTCGGCTTTTCACCAAAACCAAAATCGAACCAAAATTTTCAAATTTCAGTTCGGAAATGATAAAGATTAAAATATTTGGGTTCACTGATATGTTTTTTTAGGACACTCTGATGATTTAAATAAAGTTGTAATGAATATTCATTTGTGACTCTAAACTCTAAGAGAAGAAGATTCAAGCCATTTTTGAAGAGGTAATCATCTAGATCTGATTTTATATGATATTTTTGAAATATGTATGCTAGATCTAGGGTTTATAAGCCTTGGATGAATTGCATGTACAATAGAGAAACCTAGATCCAAGCTTTAGGGCTTGGATGAAGATATAGGATGTTCTTTTGTGTAAAACCCATCACATTCCACAAGCTATTTTCCCGCTCAAATGTCAGAGTGAAATTCCAATATTGTCTGTTTGTTCAATCCATAGTGCAGTAAAATCAGGAATGTGATCTGCCGAAAATACCCTTATAGCCCTTAAAACTCACATGTCATTACACTCTTCATTTTTAAATTTTATATCATCTTTTAGGTAATCATCATTCATATCCCAAAAAATCAGCCATGAAATTTGAATTCCAAGATAAGAAATTAAGGATTTATCTATATTTAAAATTGATGGGTGAGCTTTTACCTACATCGACAATTTCTTTTATCAAGCCATTAGTCATATACATTCTTATTTCCAAATCTAGGAATCAATCAGATGTGTTTAGACATGTGGTTTAAATTTATCGATTTTGAGAGGCTAAAAGATGACAATGAAAACGGATACAGTAGAGTAAAATGTATACGTTCTCTATGAATCATTTTTCGAAAATGAATTGATTAAGTCGTCTAATGTAAATTGAAGCTAGGTGTGTTTTTTGTAAAAAGAATTGTGACTCTATGTTTTGTTTTTCCATTGCAAGTTCAACATTTATCAACGTATTATTGATTTCTTTTTGCGAAATTTTTAATGATTTCGAGACAATTGGTTTGCAGTTTCCTACCATGGATGCCTAATGGCCTTCTTAAACACTCTTCTCCAAATTTTGTCAAGCTTACAAGACTTTTAAATGTTTTTGGGATTTATAGTGTTCCTTTTTTCCCTGGCAACTTACATCTCTATTTTCTGATGTTACAGGCTAGTAGAGCAATTCTCTTACCATTTTTCAATTATAATTGCTTTTTGAAAGCAAAGAAATTCTTAAAATGTTGCTTATTTGGATAGTAAGAAAAATTTAACTTTATGTTGACATTGAAGAGACAAGCTGAAGTGTTGTGCAACATTTAGTTGTGAGTCATATACTACCTTTGTGTTTTTCATCGATTACTTTTTCTTTCCACTGTCTTTTGAAAATTTACTCTAATATATGGTTAAGCTAGGCGAATGCCTGCGCGTTGCGCAGAAACACCGATATAGTTGAAATCTTTAAAAATATATGTTTTTTTTAATATAACAATAACATTGTTATTAAATTTGATATAGTAGTTCGTTTACTAAATTGATATAATATATTGATTATTTTGAATTATATAATAATATATACATCTATTATAATTGTATAATCTCAACCATTTTAATGACTTCTACCTACGAGTTACATATGAATAAAATTAAATATAATATATGGCTTGATGTTATTTATTGTTTTTGTTTGTGTTAATTATTTTTTTAAAATTCATTTTAATAATGTTTTAATTTCTATCATTATAATTATTTAAAACATAAACATTGTTTTTTTTATTTTAAAGGTAACAATAAAATCATTTATATAGAATTATTTTTAACTATTTTTATTGTAAGTTATTTTAAACCACTTATTTGAAAACTTTTAACGATTATACAAATATCTTTAGGAAATATTTTACTTAAATTAATATTATAATTTAGTTTTTGCATTTAGCACTACAATTTATCACTTTTAACTATTCACAAAATATTCATTGGATTTTTTAAGTGGAACTGAAATTTATATTTAAATTGATACTGTAATGTTATATTTAAATTAACAGTTTAAGTATTTTGTCCAAACTATTCAAAAGTTATAGTTTTAAATTGATAATGGTTCACACACAACATATTAAATCTAATAAATTAAGTATAATATGTTAAAAGTTAAATACATAACTTTATAAGTAGAAGTAAATATATTATTTTAATATTGAAATTTAGTTTATTTATGATTACACTTTAGGTTTGATATTTATTTTACATTATTAACAAAATTATAATCATTATTAGAAAGACACTACAATTTATCAAATTTAACTATTTACAATATATTATTTGGGTTGTTTAAGCAAAATAAAAATTTATATTTAAGTTGGTCCTGTAATGTTATATTTAACTATTTACAAAATTTATAATTTAAATATTTTATACAAATTATTCGAAAGTTGTAGCTTTAAAATGATAATAGTTTACATTCGACAATATATTAAAACTAATAAATTATTTGGGTTGTTTAATCAAAACAAAAATTTATATTTAAGTTGGTCCTGTAATGTTATATTTAACTATTTACAAAATTTATAATTTAAATATTTTATACAAATTATTCGAAAGTTGTAGCTTTAAAATGATAATAGTTTACATTCGACAATATATTAAAACTAATAAATTAAGTATAATATTTAAAAAGTAAAAAAAAAACATATATTTATAAATAGAAGTAAATATATTATTTTAATATTGAAATTTAGTTTATATATGATTATACTTTAGGTTTGATATTTATTTAATCTTATTAACCAACTTATAATCATTATTAGAAAGAAATTGAAAAGTCATGAGAGTTTCAAATGAATGTGGTAAAAGAAAAATTACATTGGAATTTCAAATGAATCTTGTGAAAGAAAAACATATTTTATTTGTAATATAGTATGATGATTGGTTTGATAACAATTTCACGGGTTTGCTTTTGAACACTGGTCAACGTAAATTGTATTATAAAGAAAAAAAAATTGTTTCAGGAGATCTGGTTTATTAACTATCAACAACACCGTGGCCAATTATGTGCACAATAAGCATTTTGTGAAATGTTCGACTGTTAGTTTTTTAATATGCCTAATGTTCATCATGTTTGTTTTAATCCTAATAAACGATTGATTACCAGTTGTAGTCGAATCTCGATATTGTATGTGTTAGCTTGATTTTGGGTTTGGTTAAAGCAAGATTTTTTCATTAATTTAGAAGGGGATCATTTTCCTCTAAATTATTAAATTTAAGAAAAAATAGAAGTTCTGTTTCATCATTAGTTGGTATTTTCTGGTTTGTAATTACTTTGTCGATTGAATAGTGTACTAAGGTCTTGGGTGCAACAGTATTTACATGTTTAAACCTAATCCACATGTTTAAACCTAATAAACTAATAAAGAAATAAAAGACGCCTATGAACAAGATTCCACAACATGTTTAAACCTAATAAAGAAATAAAAGATGCCTATGAACTGGAAAGCACGAACTAATGGCCTTAGTGGCTTAGACTTATTCAAAGTTCAAACTCTAAAAAGAAATTAAAACACGTTTGAAATTCCTGGATTACATTAACATACTGGTCCTATACAGTATACACAGACATGAAAACCTCTCTCACATCACATATCACATGTTTCACATGCATGGGATCCCACCACCTCCTTGGCTTCTGTATATCCATTCATCCGAAGACTACAATCTCCAGATCGATCTCATAGGTCAGTCATTATCACTATAGATGCTTTCATATACAGGTATATTTACTGTTCTTACCAACCAAAGAGCTGTCTTAAGTCGAGTAATAGTTATGAATTGTTATATATCTTTTCATTTCCTTGATATTTTCACTTATAAATACATTATAAACAACAACTTTCTACAACACTTGAGATGGAGAAAGCACATGAAGGCCATGTGTTGGTGTTGCCTTACCCAAGCCAAGGCCATATCAACCCTCTCCTTCAATTTGCCAAAAGACTCGCCTCCAAAGGACTTAAAGCCACCGTTGCCACCACCCACTACACCCTTTCCTCCATCTCCGCCCCATACATCACTGTGGAGGCCATCTCCGACGGTTTTGATGACGGTGGTTTCACTCAAGCTCAATCCGCAGAAGTCTTTCTAGAGTCCTTCAAGTCCCATGGCTCACGTACACTCACCCAACTCATCAAGAAACACCAAACCACCAAGTATCCAATCACTTGCGTTGTGTATGATTCCTTCTTTCCTTGGGCTCTTGACGTGGCTAAGGAGAATGGGATTCTTGGGGCACCGTTTTTCACCAACTCCGCCACTGTGTCTGCCATTTTCAGCCGGATACATGGCGGGACGTTAAGGTTGCCGGTGAGATTGGAGGATTGTCCGGTGGTGCTGCCAGGGGTTCCGCCGTTACATTTGGAAGACTTGCCGAGCTTTCTGAATGCACCTGAAAGTTATCCGGCCTACTTGAAGATGAAATTGAACCAGTTTTCGAATTTGGAGAAAGCTGATTGGATTTTCTGCAACTCTTTCCAATCATTGGAACCTGAGGTATACATATAGTGTAACAAATGTGAGGATCAAATGTGATTTGTTTATCTCAAAAAAAAAGGTTAAGTTTTTTTATTTTTTTATTTCTTAATTACTCGAATTTCATTTCAGGGATTTGTTTAAACTTTAAACAATCTTATTGTTTTAATATATTTTTTGAAAATAAAATTTTGAAACAAATGATTATGTCTTATATTAAAAAGCTAGACTTGGAAGAAAAAAATTCCTTAAGAATTAAGATGTCTTGGAAATTATGAAATTCTTTCACATCAATCTAACAAATTATATAAAAATTCCTGCCACGGTTCACTTCTCATTAATAATATATACTTACATTTTTTTATCTCTTTTTTTTAAACACGTTATATATATATATATATATATATATATATATATATATATATATATATATATATATATATATATATATATATATATATATATATATATATATATATATATATAGTTCAATTGAGGAAAAAAAAATTAAAAATAAGAGAATTATTTTCATTCACACATTTATTTTGTCTCAAAACATTTAAGCGTACCGTTGAAAATGGATAACAGATAAACATATGTTTTTCAACCAAACATGTTTCATTAAACTATGTTAATCATTATCTTAATATATGCAAAAATATACTTTTATTGGTTATTTTTTTTATTTTAAAAAATATTTTTTATCGAAAAATTATTTTAAATATATCAAAATTCATAATTTTTTATTCTCTATAAATAAATATCCATATTTATATAGTTTTAAGATAAAATAATTTTTTTTTAGAGTTCCAGCTCTCGTTATTCATAAGTGAAAATTTTTTTATCAGATTTTTATTACAGTATATTCGTTATTCACTTATGAATAAAACATATGCTTAATTTTTTATAGTTTAAGTATCGTTCATATATGAATATGACACGTAATAAATTTTTTTTACTTAAAATATATTTTTTACATCATTTTTCGTCATATAATATATTTATATATGAATAAAACGTGTATTATTTATCGTCATATTTTATATTCATATATGAATAAAACATTTATCAGATTTTTGTTACAGTTAATTTGTTATTCATATATGAATAAGTAGTATAAATTATACTTAAACTGTAAAAAAAATTAATTATATATTTTTATTCATAAGTGAATAATGAATGTACTGTAGCAAAAACCCAATGCATTTTTATTCACTTATGAATAACGATAGCTGAAAATATAAAAAAAAAAAAAAACTACTTTATCTTAAAAGTATATCAATATTGACGTCTATTTGTAAAGAATAAAAAATTATGAATTTTGGTATATTTAAATCATTTTTCGATTAAAATAACTTTTTCAAAATTAAAAAAACGAAGAAAACTATGTTTTTGTATATATTTAGGTAATGATTAGAATAGTTTAAGAAAACAAGTTATGTTGGATACACATGTGTATTTCTTATCCATTTTCGCTGGTACAATAACACTTTTGCGACAAAAATAAATGAGTGGCTGAGAATGATTCTCCCATTCTCAATATTTTTTTTATTTTCTCAATTGAACTTACACTCTCTCTCTCTCTCTCTCTCTATATATATATATATATATATATATATATATATATATATATATATATATATATATATATATATATGGGTAAAGTGAATATACCTAACAACCTTATATAAGCTTAGGTACCTAACTCCATAATACTATATTGGTTTGTATAATATTTACATTGTAATGACCTAAGGTTCTTAAACTTCAACCCCATAACTTTATTACTTCCAAAATCTTTGGACTTTTACCGATATCTTTCTTTTACATCACATCTTTCTATTGAATACCACCTGATGACCTTCATATCCTACTGCTACAAATGAAATGATGTAGGAGAAATATAATGGTGAATTTCCAAATTTTTTTGAAGTAAATCAAGTTTAGGGATGAAGTTTAAGAACCTTAGATGATTGCAATAGAAATTTAATGCAAAATGATGTAGTTTAATGAGGTTAGGTACCTAAGATTATATAAGGTTAATAGGTATATTCACTTTACCCCATATATATATATATATATATATATATATATATATATATATATATATATATGGTGAGGTTCAATAGAGAACCATAATTCACAAAGAACCAATGAACCAATCGTGAGCGTCGGAAATCATAATGATCAACGGCCAAAAAAATAGATGCACACTTGTACATTGGACGAACACATACTGGATTACATCAAAAAATACAGCTCTTTACCAAAAAACTCACATCTTTTTTTCATTTAAAATTTTTTTAGGCTACATTTTTTATCAAAAAAAAAACTCGAATATACCATTGTTCTCGATTTTTTGTCCACTTTCCATAAAGATCCATGATGATATTTAAAAAACGAACTTTTTTTTTTCCGAAAAAAACCCACTTCATTTTGTTAGTTTTTTTAAATATTTAAGTTTATTTTTATAAAAAAAAACTAATTATACCAAAACATATTAATTTTCTGTAATCCTATTAATAAACATCAACTTCGACTAGAAAAAAATAACATCGATCAGTATAGATTCACACTTGAATCTAAATTGTAAATATTTCAATTTTTAACATTCACAACGTGAAAAAGCTCGATCAGTTCAGATTCACATTGTGAATCTGACTTATTATTATGCATACTATTAATCTGAGAAGGTTTACAATGTGAATCTGAACAAAAATATGGCTTTTTTACATGAATTAATGTATGTTTAAAAAGTACAAAAAAAAACATGAATTTTGATATATTAATTAATTTTTTTCTATAAAAAAATAGACCTTAATTTTTGAACAAAGAAAATAAAGTGAGTTTTTTTCGAAAAAAAATTCGGTTTTTATATATCATCATAGATATCTTTGGAAAGAGGACGAAAAATCGTGAACAACATTATACTCGGGTTTTTTTTTCGATAAAAAACATGGTCTAAAAAAATTTTAACAAAAAAAAGAAGTGAGTTTTTTTATAATCTGGTGCATATGAGTCCATTGTAAAAGTCTACAACCCTTCATTTTTTCGTTGATCGCTTTAAATTTCGACGTTTTGAATTGGTTACTTTGTTCCTTGATTAATAATGGTTCTCTATTGAACTTTCTCTCTCTCTCTCTCTACATATATATATATATATATATATATATATATATATATATATATATATATATATATATAATGACCATAATTTTATGAGACCACGAAACCAAATAATTTTTAGTGAAATATTCTATTGTTCGTAAAAATAGAGTATGCAATATATTCTAACATTATATGTTTTAGAATATTTCAATGTAAAATATGTTAATATTATTGGTTTAGAATATTAGAATATTACACATATTTAATTTTAATAAAAACTAGAATATTAGAATATTTCACTAGAAAAAAATTGTCTCACGATCTCATAAAATTAGACTATTTTACATTATATATATATATATATATATATATATATATATATATATATATATATATATATATATATATATATATATTCATGTAAAATAGTCTAATTTTATGAGATCGTGAGACAATTTTTTTCTAGTGAAATATTCTAATATTCTAGTTTTTATTAAAATTAAATTCTTAAATATATATATATAATTCTTAAATATGTATCAAAGTTACAAAGTTATTAATTTATAAATATTAACTAACTATTGCATTGGTTTTATTTATTTAATAGAACTATAAGGGGTTACATGGTTAACCATTTTCTAGTCAATAAATAAAATATGTTAGATAAGTATATTAAATATCAACACGTTAGTGTTAAATCCTTCATCCTCTTCATCATTAAGGTTGTAGGGAGTGGGGGTTGCTAAGGAGGTCACCACTCTTGCTAGTGAGAGCTAAAAACGTCTCTGTCGTGCACTAAGGAGCTCACCAAACAAGCCTCGTTGTTGATATAACGAGATGAGATGTGAAACAGAAAGTGTAAAGGGGTGTTGTGATTAGTTGATTTATGTTTATTTATTTATTTTTTTAAAAAAATTCCTCCAAAATAAAACCTATTAAATTGTCACACTACCACTCCTTAATGTTTTTGTTGCTAGACATGCTAAGCTTATGTGGTTTAAAAAAACTAAAGAAACATATTTGATAATATGTTAAGAATGCTACCACTCCCTCCGACTTAATACCCTTTATCTTATTCTATTGACTTTCTATGTCGACGCTTTGTGATTCAGTCGTCTTTGCCACAATCACAAATGACATCTCTCCAAGCACGTTATTAACTAGTCTCATGCCAACCACATACGTCTTTAGCAACAATGGTGGCATCGCCTTTCCGGAATGAACTAAATCCCATTTAGAGTTTGGTACCTAAAATTATTGCTCAAACTTAAATCCTATTCGGAGTTTGGTACCTATAATTGTTGCTCAAACTTGTATGAGTCACTGATGTCATGGCGTTTAAATATGTTCTTACAAGTTAGGGGAGTTTTTTAGTTTGAGTAATAATTTTAGGTACCAAAAAAATTAAATTAAATTCAAAATGTATTAGGGTTGGACTCAAACCATCACAGTTTGAATTTAATTTATTTTTTTTCGCTATTAAAACCACACATAGGAAACATGTTCTTACAAGTTAGGGGAGTTTTTTAGTAAGTAAATATGAAGTTTATGCCCTTGATTATCCAAAAATAATATGAGAAACCTTTTAAACAAAAACCGAATAGTTCATAAGACCTCATTTACATTGTCTCTTTAATAAATATAGATATCATAAATAAGTATTATGAAATAAATTTAAATTAGTTAACTGTAAATCCATTAAATTTGTCAAAATCATCATCATATTTACATAATTTTATCGTGTGAATAAATGCATCATCTAAAAATTATTAGTGTCACATGAAGTATTTTATAAATTATTAGGTATTTGAAGAAATTCATCAAACAAAACGAATAAAGTCACATTTTTTATTTCAATATTCATATTTGTTTTTTTAATTGGAAACATGTACCATCAAATTTTGTGCTATTACTAATTAGTTCGTAGTCCTTTTTACTTTATATTTCAAAATTGATTTATAACCAAATTACAATTATTGTTTAGTGTTTGCTAATTATTATCGTCTTATTTCACCTTATATTAACTAGGTGATAAAAGGTATAGGGGAGCAATGGTCAGCAAAACTAATAGGTCCAATGGTGCCTTCGTCCTACGTAGATGGAAGGATTATAGATGACAAAGGTTATGGTGCAAGTTTATGGAAACCACTTGAGCATCAATGCACCAAATGGCTCGAAACCAAGCCCAAAAACTCAGTTGTTTACGTCTCTTTTGGGAGCATGGTGTCACTATCCCAAGAAGAAATGGAAGAAATATCATGGGGTTTACACCAAAGCGGTTTCAATTTTCTTTGGGTTGTCAAAGATTCGGAGACACATAAATTGCCCAAAGGGTTTCTTGAATTAACCACAAAAAGTCAAGAAAAGGGTATGATTGTGAATTGGTGCAACCAACTTGAGTTGTTGGCTCACGATTCAGTAGGTTGTTTCGTGACACACTGTGGGTGGAACTCAACGTTGGAAGGGTTGAGCCTTGGAGTCCCGATGATCGGGGTCCCAAAATGGGCTGACCAATTAACTGGTGCCAAGTTTATAAAGGATGTATGGTGTTTGGGTGTGAGGGTTAAGGTGGATGCTAAAATTGGGATTGTCGGAAGGGAAGAACTTGTTTCGTGTTTGAATGAGGTTATGAATGTAGGGGAAAAGAGTTTACAGATCAAGAAAAATGCGAAGAAATGGAGAGAATTAGCTAAAGAGGCAATAAGTGAAGGCGGGAGCTCAGATAAAGCCATTGATGAGTTATTGATGGCATTGAAGGGATTTTGCAAAGAAAGAGACTTATGTTTAGGTTGACTCTAATGCATCATACTTAATAAACAAATTCACATTAAGTACAACCTACTTCAGCCAATTTGTAACACTTTATACTAATTGATTCTAATCATAGAGATCTTCTATTACTTAATTTTCACTTGAAAATATGAGTTTACCACTATTAGTGTGTGTACATGTGTTGGTTACCTTATATTTTGGGATTTTTAGAACCTTAAGGTACTATTAAGCATGATTGTGGTTGTTATTTTGAGTCTATCACATTTTAGTGGTTCATATTTGTATCTCTTACTAAAAGGTTAATTTTCAATCTAAATATTATTTGTAATTTGTTTTTTACTTTCTATTTATATACATAGATTTTAGTTTTGTTGTTTATTCTTTAATACCAGATCACTTATCATTTATTATATTTTCTATAAAATAAAGGAACCAAATCTGGAAAATGAAAAAAAAAATGGAACGATTTCCTATCACAACCTATTTCTTCAAAGTTGGTTGCTATTATACATTAACTTCACAAAGTTAGTTGCTATTTATCATAAATTTTCATGTCAAAAATGAACAAATATAAAAATGGTAAAAACTAAACAAGTTCTTGTCACAACCTATTTCTAAAATGTTGGTTGCTAATATAGATTAAATTTACAAAGTTGATTGCTATTTATCGTAAAATTTCTTGTTAGAAAATAAACTAAATTTGAAAAAAGAAAAAGTTATAAAAAATGAAACAAGTTCATGTCACAACTTACTTCTACAAAGTTGGGTGGTATTATAGATTAACTTTAGAAAACAAGTTTTTGTATATCATAATATTTCCTTTAATCATAAGATAAAACTATGATTTTGTGTCATTTATTTTGTGTTTTGTATGCGTCTGTATATCTATTTGTCTCTATGTTATTTTAAGTTATCAACTATTTAGTACATGATTTTAACCTAGTTAATAATAAGGTTATGCTATAAACAACCTCCTCTAAGCTTGTATAATAATCCAATATGCATGAATCCATAACTACTCTACAATATACCTTAATTTGTCAATTGTATGTCATATGGATAATTTTCTATTTTGAACTATGTCAATAATCCAGATTATCCATAGAATTTGACACATGTATCAAAAGAATTTACTCTAAAATTGTTCAAAAGTATTCAACTAAATTTTCATTCTAGTTAAGGAAAAGCATCGATGAGTTTAAAAGTATTATACCCATCTTCAAGGTCCCTTGATGCTACCATACAACATTGTGGTACATATGACCAAAAATACGCAAGCGTTGAGCGTTTATCCTCTATTATCCACAAAATCCGAGTAGTTGATGATAAGGTTTAACCTTGAATTTCCTAATCTCAAGTAAGTCGTTAAACGTTTTTGGGGTAAGCTGATCAAATTCCTTGAGATCCTGGTATGCTTCTTTATTTATTTTAAGGAAAATAAGTAAGAGGGTTTTTGGAAAAGTTGAGTTTGCGATGCAATTAGTGTTGGTCATGGTTTGTTCCAAATTATTTAGTTGCGACCCAACCTTATGTGGGTTGCGACGCATGACAGACATAGCCCAAAACCCTAGGTCTTGGATTTTGAACCCTATTTAAAGGCACTAACTTCTATAGTTTTCTCTCTTATCATCCTCCATCCTCTAATTTTGAGGAAGAAGCAAGAAATTTTGGTGCATAGGCTAGATCCAGAGAGTTCCAACCTTCGTGTCATCTCAATAACCTTTGTGTAACATCCCAAAATACAACTCAATTTTTTTTAATATAATAAAATCATATGTTGAACGTCATATCATAAATCCATACGTCAAATATCTCAAACCATAATAAAATGTCGTGATACAACTGTATTAAATCAAACTAAGTATCAAAACAATCTCCTAGGACAAAAACTGAAGTTGTGGTGTGTGCGATGTCATTATCCCGAGCTCTTCCCTTTACTTGCGGAAGTACCTGAAACCAAAACTGAAACTGTAAGCACGAAGCTTAGTGAGCTCCCCCAAATTACCACATACCGTACAAACATAAAACAACTACTGGGCCTTGCCCACTGCATCGGACCGAAGTCCGGAAACTGCATCGGACCGAAGTCCGGAACTAACCAGGGCCTTGCCCTTTGCATCGGACCGAAGTCCGGAACTACTGACGCCTTGCCTCCTGCATCGGACCGAAATCCGGAACTAACTGCATCAGACAGAAGTCCTGAACTACTGAACATAGCATAGCATAAACATATCAACTAACACAACAACACATACTGCTTCGGGCCATAACCCGGAACACATAACACGCAAACCTGTCTGAGCCATGAAGGCGTCAAACATACTAACTACTGCATCGGACCGAGGTCCGGAAACTACTGCTAGCTAAATGGGTCGGCATTGTGGCCTTAGACCCGTTCCTACTGGAAGGAAACTCACCTCGTGAACTGGCTGCTGAGTGTATGGCTCTGGAAGCTATCTGCTGCTACTCCTGTATCTCCCCGGCTACAATTCCACAAACACACACAATCAAATACTAATAACTGCATTGGGGTAAAATGACTCTTTTACCCCTAGCTAAAGTCAACTCTCCCGGTCAAAGTCAACTTACAGTTGACCTAACTCGTCGAGTTGGGCCGCCAACTCGCCGAGTCCCTACTCTCACTTCTCAACCCTGTTCGCTACTACTCGTCGAGTATGGCATCAACTCGACGAGTTCCCTTTCGATTCTAGAACTCAGGCTATCTGCATCTGACTCGCCGAGTTGTATGAACAGCTCGACGAGTTGTTCTTGAATCTATGAAGATTGCCTTAGACTCGCCGAGTTGTATGAACAACTCGTCAAGTCCCTCCATTACTGAGTCTGACCTCCGGCTCACTGAGTCCATTCTACTACTCACTGGTCCCCACTCAGAATCACTCAAAAGGGGAAAAAATCGGGGACTCGTGGCTCGACTCGCCGAGTCCGAAGAACGACTCGCCGAGTCGCATGCATGCAGTTTCTAAAAACTCGATTCTGCTTGAATCCAGCGCATATAACTTGTAGATCTGGGCTTCTTATGCTCGATTAACACATAAAGATTCTATCTTTACGTTCCCATAAGCATCCATGAAGATTAAAAGGCTCAGAAGGCATAATAAAGGCTAGATCTAGGGTTCTCATGCAAGGCAACTCGAAAAAGGAAATAGATCTAAGCTCTAAAACTCCTAAAAGAACAGATCTAGGGATATCTTGACCCAACAGGGCATCCATACAACTATAAAGCTTGGAAAATACATTAAACTAGCCTTAGAGGTGTTCTAATGGAGGTCTTAAGCACAAAACAGAATAATTCTGAGACATACCTCAATGAACTCTGACTTTGGCCTTGGATCTTTGCTCTACACTTCCTCTTTTTGGTCCTTTCTTCTTCTTCTTCTTCAATCCTTCAAGAATCCACACAAAACACTTTAATCATACAAGGAATGGTTTAGGGTTTCTCACAAGCTCTTTGAGGGTGAAGGAGGCGAGTTGGGGCACATAACATTGCTTAAATAGTGAGCAAACCCGGGGATTTAGGGTTTCTTCCTGGCAGGCGGACTCGCCGAGTCGCCGACTTACACGTGCTCGAAATACCGTCTCTACTCGACGAGTCGGGCTATAGACTCGCCGAGTCCCTCTTCAAAACTTCTAAATAAATAACATGGAAACAACATACCAGAGACAGGTCGTTACACTTTGTAAGCGTTCTAGTTTGCAACTTTATGACTCTGTACTTCTGGATCTAGAATTTTAGTCAGTTTGGTCCCTTTGTGGTATGATTTTCTTTCAGTTTGGAAAACTTCAAGTTGGTGGGATGCTTTTAATGGTTTTCTAGACTCAAAGTGGTTAAAAGAGTGCTTGGCCAACTCTTTGAGCCAAGTAAAGAAGGATTAGCTCTTTTGGCCGTGTTTTGGATCTAGGGTTTGTTTGCTAAGTTAGGCATGTTAGGAAAGTTTGGATTTGTATCCATTAGATAGTCAAGGAACTCTATACTAAGATACTTACCACCTCGATCGGTTCGAAGCATCTTAATGTTCCTGCCTAACTGATTTTCCACTTCCTGTTTGAACTCTTTGAATCTTTCAAAGGTCTATAACTTATGCTTGATTAAGTAGACATATTCATATCTACTAAAATCATCAGTAAAAGTCACATAGAAGCGGGGAGCATCTCTTGTGGCAGTTCTGAAGGGTCCACACACATCAATATGTATGAGGTCCAACAAATCCTCACCCCTAGCATAAGTACTAGTGAAGGGTCACTTTGTCATTTTCCCAAGAAAACAAGATTCACAACTATCATCTGACTTTAGGAAAAACGACTCCAAGACTCCATCCTCTTGGAGTTGGCCTATGCGTTTCTTGCTTACGTGTCCAAGACGGCAATGTCATAATGATGCTTTATCCAAATTATTGGAAGAATCGATACACAATACATTATTTCTTAAGTTATTAACAACCAACACAGTTTCATATACACTATCACAAGAAAATGCTTTAAAATATAAAAAAAACATTACTAAAGAAAGCATTAATACCACCACTATCATTTGTTGGATTAGTGTCTAAGTCCATAACTATTTTGGTGGGTACTTGACCCGATGGTGCATGGTCCTTTTGGGTTGCCTTCACCAAAGCAACTTGATAGGATGAATTATGAAGAGAAAGGATTAATTATGATTTATTAATATATTATGAGAATAATATATTAAAGGAGCAATCATATTGTTTATTAATATTAGTCAAGAATTAATTGATAATTAATTTTGTGGCTAAAAGAGATTAATTAAACTTAAGGACTGGAACTGTAATTATAAGATACTTGCATTTGGGCTATGGATCACCTTGGAATAATAGGTTGGCCGAATTCTATGGGGAAACCCATTAGGAATCGTCCAAGGGATATTCTAAAAGGGTCCTTGGGCTGCTTAGGGCTTAAGCAGTCAAATTAGGGTTTCTTAGTTGAAAACCCTAATAGCCTACATGTATATATAGTACCCTTAAACCCCCAAAACAGAGTTTCACTAGGGTTTCTGTATGTTTTGGGCAGCCTCCTCTCTCATTATTCTTCATCCTCTTGCTCTTGGTGTTTGTGAGCCATTAGAGGAGTGACAATTGTGACTCTAAGCTTTCTAAAGTCATTACAAGAAGGATTTGAGATTGTTATTGCTACATAACAATCAAAGGTAATTCTCTAAACCCTAATTTCAGTGTATAATATGTTAGATCTAAGATTGTAAGTCTTGGATACATTGCATGTACAATAGAGAAACCTAGATCTAAGCATTAGGGTTTGCATGAGCAATAGGATGTTCTTA